ATTTTTACTATCATACTGTTCGTGTTTTTATTTGGATCTAATGGATTTTGACTACATATTTTTTCTAATAACTGATTAACGTGTTCTTATAAAGTTATACTTATTACTTTATGAATTTGAAATGAAACGTTTCGTAATATCTCCCCCCGTATGAAAGAGGACGTATTATATATTTTTGTAGTAATTATTTACTAGACTGCGTTTCTAGTTGTGGACATCTAAGACTTATACTATTTAGTCTTTGAATAAATGGACTGTATAACTTAAGAAAGTTGTTTCCAATTATTAACGGTAAACCTGTATTTTGTTTATAAAGACTTGGTAAAGGAAATCGTTTTTCTTCTATTAATAATACTAAGTCTGTTGCTCTATAATCAATACTTATTGTTTTGTTATTTGCAATTCTTACTATAATAGGTTTATCTAATTTCTTCCAATATTTACTAGGTAATATGGACTCTTTTGCTAGACATATTGTTGCTCCTGTGTCTATATATGCTAGTAGAAGTTTGTTAAATAATTTAACTTTTATAAATGAGCTGTTTTTACTCATCTTCTGATTCAGATGATTCTAAATCACTATTTGTTTCTGATTCTAAATCATATATATCAAAGTCTAATAATTCGCTTTCTTCGTATTCTTCTTCTATAGGTTCATAACCTAAAGAAAATATCAATTTTAACTTCTTTTCTTTTTCTGGCATGTTTTTAGGGCATTCATTTGCATAGTGTTCTATTTCTTGACATTTCCAACATCTACAATTCTTTTTTCCTTTAGGACAATATTTAGGTTTTCCTAAGTATTTTCCTTGTTTTCTAAACTTTCCTTTATATTTTGGTTTTCATGGTTTTCTAACTGTCTTATATCTTCTTGGTTTATATCGTCTATTAAACTTATTGTATTTATAATATCTTTTCTTTTTGTATGGGTTATAACAACCAAATTCCTGCGGTACACTTCCTAATTGTTTGCAACATCTTGAATCGATTTTTGTCATTTCATAGTGTTCTAATTTCCTTATACAAAATTCATCTCTATATTCTTTTGCATATTTTTCTAAAATTCCTAGAGTTTTTTCTTCTTTTGTTTCACTAATTTTCTTCTGAATGTATTTATTCATTTCATTTTTAAGCTTACTTTCAACTATTTCTATTAGTCCTGATCGATCTTTAATTTTATAGAAATTTTCTCTTACTTGACAGATTAAATTTTCTATGTAGCATATATTACATAACTTCATATTTGTTAGAAATCTAACAACCTTATCTTTTTGTGTTTCTTTTGATCCTTGTCCTGTAATTCCTAAAAATTCTTTTAATAAATCTTTTGCTAATTCTTTTAAGGTTGATATTTTATATTCTGCTCCCGTTTCTGAACCACTGGCTTCAAGATTTAATAAAATTTGAGTATTTTTTAGATAATCAAATAATACTCCAGATGTTTTATATCTTATATAATTAGCAGAATCGGTTAATGTCATTCCATTTATCATCGAGTCATTAGTTTGAACTAATAATTTTAATTGATTAGTCCAAGTAACTATTAAATCTTCTGCATTTGTTGCACAATCTATATTTAATATTCCACTGGATAAATTTCTTTCTTTTTTCTAAATATGCTGGTGGTATATTTTTCTTTATTTTTTCTTGATGATAGCTATAATCATTTCTATATATAAAGTCTCTAAAACTTCTTTCTACATAATTATTCTGTGAAGTAGATGCTTCATTATTATTTGTTCTAGGTCGTTTTGGTGATAATGGTGGTGTTGTATGAATTTTTTGATCAGTCATATTAAACGTTGGTTCATCTTCATCTTCGCTATCTATTCCGTAAATTATTCCTTGTTTATCTTTATCATCTATTTTTTTTAGTTTCTTCAATATTGCATTTTTCTAATAACTGTGTTAATCTATCTATATCATCCATTAGAACTTGTTGGCGGTTCTATTTGAATTGGTTTAAATAGTTTTTTCTGTATTTTTTCTTTCTTCACTAAATCTAGTAATTCTTTAACTGATCTTTTTATTTCGTCTAATTTTTCGAATATTTCTAATTGGATTTTCTTTATTATTTCTGTAAGTGTTCCTATTTGTTCTGAAACTCTTGGTGGATCGCTCATAATATATATAATTATTTTCTTTTATTGGTATTTGAGATTTTTATGTTGACTTTGAGTATAGCAAAATATTGTGTGAATATAATTGTATAGTTGAAAAGAAAAAGTTGTAAAGATAGTTGTGTCAAAAACATAAATGAGGTTTGTTAATGGAGTCATTTCTAATTGAGAAAATTACGCCTACAACGAGATCATCACAAAATATTTGCAAATATACTGCTATAATATTTTATTAGCAAAATTAGAAAACCTATCCTAAATATTTGCAAATCTACGGAAGTTACTAGTTAACATCTATTTCTCTCTCCTCTCACTTTTATTTTTTTACGGAAGTTACTAGTTATCATCTATGTCTCTCACCTCTCACTTTTATTTTTTTCTTCTTCCCCCAATTTCTTCCCCATTTCTTTTTCTTCAGATCTCGGCGACGTCACTGTTCAGTAGCAATTCATCTTTCACCATGAGAGCGAAAGTGAATCATCTCTAGCCCATGTGACATTTATATCATACAAATTAATTTTGATTCCATTGATTTTTGCTGCAATTTGTATACCCTGCATATATATATATATATATATATATATATATATATATATATATATATAGTGGAAGAAAAAGAGCATGAGGAGATTGAAGAGGAAGTGCCTAAAGATGAGACAAAGATCCAAGTAGTTTGCTTTCATGTTTTTTTGTTGTTTTTCATAATCTTGTATTAGAATTTTGATGGATTTTGTTTTTGATTTGATGGTATTTCGTGTTCTCGCGGCGACAGGCGGGTTCAGCCGCATTCCATATCGCCTCTCGATTGGAAAAATTGAGCCCTAATTCCACTGGATAACCGCAGCAACAAACCGATTATGATTTCGGCTACTCGATTTGTTGCTGCGGTTATCAAAGACAAAGCCTGAAAATTACTAACCGCCATTCTCCCCAGTCCTCAGTTTTTTTGAGAACTTTTTCATTTGATTTATTATGTTTGGGATATGTTGCGTATATATACAGTATATTTTTCAGTATATATTTCTGTAAACACAATCGACAGTATATGTTTCATGTATAGGAAGTATATGTTCAGTATATGTTTTCGTTGCCCGTATATTTCTCATCTAGCCCGTGCTTCTATCTCTTCTTCACACGCCAGAGAAAACGAACAAGGTGGCTCTGAGAGGGCCTGCGATCAAAACAACAAAAAGAAAAAGAGAATAATAAACTGAAGAGAAGAGAACGTAAGAGAACGTGGTGGTCTGTGGTGGTGGCTTAGTCATTGTGGCTGATAGCCGGAGGCCGCGGGGTTCGTGTCGTGGTGGCCATGACGGTCGCTGGATTGGCCGAAGTGGGCCGGAATAGAGATCGCAACTAAAAACAGAAAAAGAAAAAAAGAAAGAAAAAAGAAGTGTTCGTGCGCAGGTTAGAAGCCGGAGATGCGATGGACCCCTGCAGTTGTTTTTTAAAGAGACGACAATGGACTCTGGCGGCTACATTTGTGGATGACGGGATATAGAGAATTGGGTGTGTAGAAGGAAGGAATTAATTTCTGAAATTTGAATTTTTACGGTCTAATGTGCTTTTTGTATATCTTCTGTATATATTCTGTATATATTTTGTGTATGTAATGACAAGATTGATTTATCTGTTGTGTATTTTCTATTATGCCGGTTGTATACAATGAGTATATCTTCTGTATATATTCTCGAAAAATATACTGTTTTTTAGCATATGTTAAGGTCGACAATATACTTTTAATATATGTACATGAGTATGATTTCAACTTGTTTTATATACTGTAAATATACAAACAATATACAAAATAAATTAAGACAAATTGCAAAAATTAAAAAAAAAAAAGAAACGAAAAAAAACGTTGAAAGAAATATACATGGTTGACTAGGTTCCTAATTTGTATGTTATATACACTTACCTTTTTTTCTTTCAGTACAATTCTAAAGATCCGTGATTGTAGGAAGGTGAGTACGTGGTCTATTTGTAATCCCCCAATTTAAGGAGACTTGATCTATTTTTTTGGGATAACTGACATCTTGAATAATCACTAATAAATTCCATGCGTAAGTTTGCAATTAAAATGCAACCCTTGGTATTGTTGCAATTATTCTTAAATCGCTGTGTATATATAAAATTCTCCCTTTCTCCTTTATTCTATTCCAAAGATCAAGTCGAGAATACCATTTACACATGGAAGGCCCAAGGAAATAAAGGGCAATATATAACAGTGCGACGAAAGGCCCAATCAAGTTATTTGAGGGGAGCCCGTCGACGGTCCATCTCCGATCGGCAGACGTCGCCGGCACGACGAACTTGGCTTCGCGATCGGAGCTCCAAATAGGTAGGCTCGTTCTTCTAACACCACTTCTCTTAATGACTTAATCCGAAATTCCCTGTGAATATTTGTTTTGTCAGGATTTGCTCTTACTAATAGTTTTTCAGCAACAAAATTGATGTCTTTGCACCTGCATTTTTGTGTTTCTGTGGCTATTTTTACATGATACCTTGATTTCTTCTTTTGTTTGTTTGGGCTTTTGATCGTTGTAATGTGTGATTTTGTTTCTATTTAATAGTAGGATTTGTCACTTTCTTCTTGTTTTTAACTCTATTTTAGTATGAAACCTAGTTTGTGTGAAGGTTTAGGACTCTAATTTTATCATGTTAATGTAACTGTTCTTTCTTTGTTTGGTTGAAATGTTCCTCAGCTATTGATTTTCTNTATGGATGAAGAAATGAGCTTAAGAGATTTGTGATAAGTCGAAGAAAGACTCATGGGAACACGAGATACTTTCTTGTGCTGTAAAGTGGATCAAGCAAGTTCAGGTTTCATTATCTGGAAAAGACGATACGTTTGGAGAGCATAGGAATCAGAAAAAGGAAATGAAGAAGAAGAAAAATAAGGGGTGTGAAGTTACTGAGGCTTACATCAATGAAGGTTTGGAAAAAAGGGAACTACATGTGGACCCTGGTGAGGATGGCAGTGGAGATGCAATGATGAATCTTGAAAAGAAAAGGAAGAAAAGCAAGAACAAGAACCGGGAGTTGAATAGGACCGAGAGGAACAATGCTAAAGAAGTTCAGCAGAGTGAGGTTGAGCAAAAGCTGGATGGAGAAAGTAATTCCAAACAGGAGTGTACTGAAGATAATATCAAGGAGAGGAAGAAGAAGAAATCAAAAAGAAAACATGATGAAGTAGATTTTGAGAGGGAGGGAGAGAAACATATAAAGGAGTCTGGGCAACATAGTCAGAATTTGGAAGCTGATGATGCAGGGAAGGTCAAAAGGAAGAAAAGGAAAAAGGAAAAAGAGAACATCAAAGATGACAATTGGTCACGTGGCACTTCCGGTGAAGCTATAAATGACGAGGGTGATTTTCCTTGTGTGCAACAAGAATGCGTGCCAGATAATGTTGAAGGCAAAATTGAGTCGAATGAACATGACGGCTGTGCTGCAGAAGAACTTGAGAGAAAGAAGGAAAGAAAGAAGAAAAAGAAAGAACATTTGAATGACTCTTCATCTGCCGCTCAGCAAGATAATGCAGAAACTGACAACAATGGGCATATGTGTACGGATGAGATGCAAAGTAATGAGGTAAAACACGCAACCAAAAAGAAGAAGAAGAAGAAACATACGCAAGTAATGGTAGATGGTTCTGAGGAATTAAGAGATAATGGTGCTGCACATGAGAAGAAAAGAAAAATGACCAAACCAGTGGAGAATGACTCAAGCGATGCTACACCCAGAAAAAGTAAGAAGAAAGTGAGGTTTTCTAATCACGTTGAAGTTTTCCCCTCTCCCGGCACTTCAGATCCAGCAAAAGGGAACGTGGACCGAGACAATCTAGTTAGAGGTAAGCGGTTCACTCCTGAAGAGGACGAGATCGTCAAAGCTGCTGTTAATGACTACATACTGAGTCACAACTTAGGCGACGAAGGCCTGGACATGGTCCTCAACTGTAGAAAGCACCCCAAGGCGAGGGGCTGTTGGAAAGAAATCGGGTCTTCCATGCCACACAGACCCACCTCTTCCGTCTACCAGCGTGCCCAGATTCTATTCCGCAGGTCTGAGAATCGCAAATGGACTGAGGAAGAGTGCGAGGAGGTCCTCAAGTTCTGTGAGGAGCACGGCAGGCAATGGAGGAAGCTGGAGGACAAGCTCGGCAGGCACAGAAAACACGTGAAAGACACCTGGCGGAGGATAAAATTGGTGAACCGCAAGAAAGGGCACTGGTCTCAGGAAGAGTACCAGAAACTGTTTGACCTCGTGAACATTGACCTGCAAGCGAAGCTTCAGGAAGAGAAGAAGTCCATGTACGGGATGCTGCGTGACAATATCTGCTGGACGGCAATTAGTGATGAGCTGTCAACCCGTGCTCAGGCGCTTTGCTGTCTCAAGTGGTACAACCAGCTGACCTCGTCCATGGTGGCCCAGGGGATGTGGGCCGACTCAGACGACTACAGGCTGATTGGCGGGCTTTATAGGTTGGATGCGAGGTGCGTGGAGGATGTGGAGTGGGATAGTGTTGTGGAGGGAAGGGATGGGGATGCGTGCCGAAAGCGTTGGAATCAGATGGCTTTGCATTTGGGGCGGAATGGGAATAAGTCGTTTGCCGAGCGGGTGGAGGTCTTGGCGCAGAGGTACTGCCCGTATCTGCTGGAAGCGAGAGAGGCTTGGGACGCCAAACCAAGACTTCCATGACATGGATCTGGTGATTTGTCTTTTCTGGTGAAGGTTATGTGTCTTTAAAACTTTGGAATGTGTTGCGACGTGTTTAATTTTTGTGTTGTTCTGTTTGTTTCTATGTTTATTTGTCTTGCTCGTCTCCTTCTTATTGAGGTCCTGCCTGAAAAATGTGCATTTAATTTGGGGCTTTATAAACTACGCGGATTTGTGGGTTCAATGCGAAGATTGTTTGGGCATGAATGTTTTAATTTGGTTGGTGTTTCCCTTTGCTTTCTAGCAGTCATTTTCATTCATATTTTTTTCCCTCAATGACGTGCATGGATATGTTTTCAATAATTTGTGACCAATCTTTGTCATGACTCGTGCCTTATTAAAAGTTGACAACAGAACCAACAAGTTACTTAATTCAACATCTACTTCAATTTTTGCTATTAATATGCACCTGAATATCAATTGTTAGTCTGGAATTAAGGCACCTCAGTGAGATGACCAAAGATATATAATTAGTGTTAATGCTACAAAATATAACTTTGATTTATCATGTCTGTGCTTTCATTGTATTCACACTATACAAATTAATGAACAAAGTTGCACAATATATTTCTGTTGCATTACATGTAAGTGGTTAATTGGTGATGTAGTCGTTCATAGCTATTTTCTTTAGTGTTGGTACATGCACAAGGTAATACTATAAACGTTGGCCATAATATAATCTACAAAATACTGTAACTAGCAAAAACTGGGTTGGATTATTAACAATTGACCAAGATTAAGTAATGTTTCTCAATATATTTGGGGTCCTGTTTACTGAAGCTATTAATTTGCAAGTTTTGATCTTCTTATGGTCCTAATGATATTGAAGAAGTGTGAAGAAGGTTAAGTTCCTGTATTCGTTATTCCATATTACTAATATACTAGTACGATTGCCCGTGCAAATGCACGAAAGATATATAAAAAGGAAATAACTGTAAAAAAAAGTGAAATCTTAAAAGATTTATTTATATATTATTAAATTCTTCCTCATATATAATATCTTTTATTAGTGTGTCTTTTTTTAGCGTGACAACATTAATATTGTAATTCATTATTGTTCATAACTCTAGAAACAACACTACCGAGTTGACTACGACTGAAGGCAAGTTATTCATGTATGAACCAATATTCAAAAAAGTGAGATTTGACTCTTGATAATCGTCATGATATAAAAAATCATCAAATAAAAGTGTCTTCTTTAAAATTTGAAAGGGATTCAAAATTGATGGCATTAAACTCATTTTATGTATCTAGACGTGGTCAAATGACCCGGTCCACCATTTTCGGGCATGGGAGAAGCACTGAGGCGGTTCCAAAAACCAGCGGTCCAGGCTCCGGACTTGGTGGTCGTTGTCTTTTTTTTTTTAAATAGTATAGTTTTGAATTTGAATTATGAAAATTATGGTGTCAATCCGCCAGCTCCAGACCCAGGACCCTAAATCGAGCCCGGAACACTCGGTATGAATTATTTAGGAAGGCTCGAAACATGCCTCGATATATATATGAGCCTGGTTCCTAGCGGGCCCCTGACCGTGGTCGACATGAAGAGCCTGTAGCTCAACAGGCCGAGCCAACAATTCAACGGCGGATTCAATCTTTGACCTGTCTGTATGTATGAATACTATTTCACCAGCATTCCCATTTGTCAATATTTTACACTCATACTGGTCAATATATACCTTGCATTGTAAAATATAAGAGGTGAGTCTTGTCAATGAGATGCGTGGGAACAACTGCAACTATTCATTCTAATAGAATAAGTCCTAATGAATATTAAATCACTAAGATAAAAAAAAAAATCGAAGATAATTAAATCACTAAGTAATGTTTGGCATTACCTTTAGCATTACAATCCTCAAAAGATGTTTGTTGCATATCAATAAAATAAAAAAAAAAGAGTTATATCGATGTGGGAACTATGTGTGATGATCGATACCACTTTTAATATTCAAGCAATAAGTCAATGACAACCACAAATGCATGCAATGTATGTGTACCTTCCCAGTTGTATATGAAATCAAACAAGTAATCATCTTCAATCATTTCCTTCAAATGATAATTCATCCTTCCTCCAAATGAAGAACCTACATATAACTCTATGTATCTTCTTGTTGGATTCAGAATTTTTAAACCTTTCACAATACAAAATAAGAAAAAAAACTCAGTTAAAAAATATTAAGAAAAAAAAAAAAACTTGTAATATGTAAGTGTGAATATCATTGCTTAATTTGTTGAATGAAATATAAGTGAGTGTGTAAATGATTGGAAATTGTAAAAGTGCAGATTGTCCATTTGCCACTAAAGCATAAAAACGTGATACCACTAACAGAATAACTGATTAAGTCGGTTAAGTCGCAGAGTTGGAAGAAAATAACGTGATGCCACAAAAGAAATAACTGATTAGATCAGTTAAGTGGCAGAGTTAGAAGAAAATGACTTGTTTGGCCACTTAAAAAAAACCTAAAATAAACAAAAAAAGAATAGCTCTCACAACTGCCTTTTGATTAGCAGTTTGTATACAATATTTTAAAAAAAAACTTAATTAAATATAAATTGACCAGTTGCTAGTTTTTATTACAAATTGGTCAAGTAGTACCTTATATCGCCAACTAAAACATACCATCCGTATGCTATTAAAAAAAAAAAGATAATAATTGCCGTGGTCTTATTGCTATTGAAACCAATTAAAAAGTATATTGAGCACACATAATATGAAAATAAGAAAAAATAATCCATAGTCTAGTTTTAAATGTTTATGTTTTTCTTCCGCCAGGACATGTTTTTTTTCCCCTTCTCTAACATGACTTTCATGCTCTTATTTATATTATTAGTATTATTATTATTATTTGTGCAAGAATTTTTAAAATAAATACATCATTGTAGTTCAACCGTGTGCAGAATGACATAATATAATTTGAATAATCACCAACTTCCAAAATAAATATATTTTTGAATTATAATGAATACCAGTAGATCTCCATGAATGAGAACCGCACTCAAATATTTAAGAAATTAAAAATATCATGACTAAATATTGTACAAAAAGAAAAATACGATCACTTATTTTTTGAAAAGGCATACTCTCATTGTAATGTAAAAAAGCATTAAAATAATACAAACTTTTTAAATGGGCGGTTATAAACAATAAATATTCTTTTACAAAATCTATATATATTGAAAAAGAGAAGTCAATAAAGCATTTGTGGAAACTTTTAAAAAACTGGTCAACAACACCATTGACTTCCCATTTGTGGAAACCAATTAAAAAAATTCAAAAATTATTTATTTTTTTATTTTCTTTTTATGTTAAATCATTCCAAAACAGAATCAGGCAAAAAACATAATACTGGAATCATTCCAGTATAAACAATATGGCCGGATTTTCTTTCCAATTATTCAGGAAACCACCGAATTTTCTTAACTATGAAATCATAGGAATCCCAATTTTTTAGGTAACAAATTGTCTGACTGCCGATAACCTTGGTTTCCCCAAACAGGTGGCAGTAAAAGAAGCAAGAATGTTATCCAGTGTAGGAAGGGCAAAGTTAGAGAATTGTCGTCTACTAAAATGTGCATTATGGGACATAAGTACTAATCGGCTAAAGGCCAGTGGACCATTGACGAGGACAGGTGAGAAGGAAAAAAATTGGAATGATTATTTTTTTCCCCTGATATGCTTGAGATATTAACTGGAAATGTAGATTAATTGCAGACTCTTGACCCATCTGGCGGGAAAATATGGTGAGAGAAAATGGTCTACTATTGCACAAATGCTGAAGGGAAGGATAGGCAAACAGTGCAGACAGAGATGGCATAACCATCTGAGACCTGATATTAAGGTTTAGCTTTGAATTTTTGTTCTCTGAGAATATTTGTTCTCACATTTTCAAGCAAGAAAATGTGGTTCATATGTCATTAACCCAACACTAGTATATGGTTTGAAGAACTAAAATATGGTTTTCTCACATTTTCAAGCAAGAAATGTGGTTTCAAATGTCATTAACCCGGTGTGTTGATTTCACACTATATTTCGAAGATATAGAACATCTGACATGAATGGAAGATGCATGCAGCCTCAAGTTTTGTGTTACAGGATTTTTCGGAACCAACTTAATTTATAGAATTAACACGAGTCACGCATGGTTTATTTATTTTTCTATTTATTGTGTACCAGCATGCTAAGTTACATGAATCAATTTATCTTTATATTATTACTTAAATAGAGTTTTAAGTATAATATCCAATTAATAAATGTGATTCTCGTTTTTGATTTGTTCTATCTGGATATTCAGGATTAAGACCTAAAAAATCCAATACAATATCGAGTTTTTCTTTTTCTTTTTTCTGTTGCCTATTTTATTTATACAGACATCTCTTTCATCCAGAAGGATTTATGGACTGAGGAGGAAGACATAATCCTGACCGAGATTCATGGACAAGTCGAAAACAAATGTGCAGAAATCGCGAAAAGTCTCCCTGGAAGAACAGAGAGCTCCGTAAAAAACCACTGGAATACTACAAAAAGAAGGTATTTGTGTTTTCTATTCCAATTTCAAGTTGTTTTTCAATCACGAAGAATTCTGAAATTCAGTTTCATGTTTTCTATTCCAATTTCAAGTTGTTTTTTAATCTTATAGTATTTGTGTTCCGAAATTTTTGGAATGATTTTTTAGCCTTTTTTTGTTTTGTCTAAGGATCCTAAATGTTGTTACCTTAGTACTATTTAGATGATTAATTGTACAACTTTGTTTTAAAGTTATTTAGTTCTCAAAGTCCTGGCTTTAATTCAGTTTTCTAATTAATTTACTGGATTTTGCATTTGGCTAATATCACGCTTTACCTTACTATTGCGAAAAAACTTATTTGGAATTGATTTTCAGTGCTTTTTTGAGGTAATCTATTCGATTATATTAATTACCACTGCATCAAACGTTATTCAAAACGATTTCTTTCTCAATTTAATTGATTGATCAACTATCTAATTGGTTGTTTATGCAGTCACTTTAGACGGTCCATTACAGCCGACCAACAAGCATCAAGGATTTAATGACCATTGAGCTAACGAGCGCATACTGGTTTGGGCTTTTCGAGGTTTTTGCGGTTCTTCCAATTGAGTTGTAATGTAGTCGATGCCAAGGTTTGGAGATCGGGCTCACCAATCGAGGACGGGCAGAAGTTGGACACAATCGGGGTCATTTTGAAAGTGGACAATGACATTCGGAGCACGGAACCTCGGTTTCTTTGGCCGAGATGCATACTGAGATGAGGCTCCACCGACTGATGTTTGTTGACCGAGACTATGAGAGGAGGGTTGTGGCTAGGCCTGGTTCGGGCCCGAGTGTATATGTTAGGAATCATTTGGAGAAGCATTACTCGGTCCTGAATATTCAGTGCTGAGACCGGAATAAGCTTTAGATTTATGTTGTCTGAACGTTAACCGATATGGCGTATGTTGTTTTCCACGCCACGGTCGACACATCTGAGGATTCGGCGTCTGGTAATTTTTTTATTTTTTTATTCTTTACAATTTGAATTCTGTTTATTTATTAATTTATTTGGGCCAATTAATGGTTTGGTTATTTGAAATCAGGAGTTTTCATCAGACATGTGGATGGGACATCGATTAGCTCCGAGGCTGGGAAGGAGCGCGTATTTTTTGTCTACAGGCCGCGATCGAGAGAAGGCATCTAAGGTCCTGTATTAAAAGGAAAAAAGAAAATCTATTATTTTTAGCAAGACTTTTTCTGGTTTAGTTAAATTAACCTTTTCTGTCTTTTATTTTCTAAAATCATATAGGGTGTGACTTGTGAGGCTCGATCTGTGTGCAGATGATAGAATAGATTTGTTGGCAGACATGATGCGGAATTTTCTTGAAAATGGGCTAAACATCGACCGGGAGATCATAGTCTCGGTAAGGAAAAAGATTTGTTTGGGGAATTTAAAAATTACAGAATTTCCTTCTTCGTGTGGGCGGAAGGTCGAGAGGGAGGGCCCACGCATGCTGATGTCGCTTGGGAGCATGGTGGGGAGGAGTCTGGATTACTTTGGGCTGATTAAGTCTTAAGCTGAAAGAATTTGAAGACATTTTATAACAAAAATGTGTGTTGGGAGGGCATGGCAATTGGCATATTCTTTTTTCAATGGTGATAGGCATTTTGTACATAGATTTACAGAACAAAGAGTTGGTGAAGTTAGTTTGGATTGTAAATATGAACAAACAACAGAAATGTGGGATTGATGTGGGGGACTCCTCCCCTAATTTCCTTTTTTTTTTAAAAAAAAAATCTTGATTTGTGGAGCGAAGGAAAAAATTGAAAATGGTAGATGGGTGGGGTCTGTTGGCATAATTAAATAGATGAAAATTGAAGTTAGTAATCGTAGTTATGTAAATAGAGTTTTCATTTTATCCTAATTTTTGTTGCCCTATTTAGAAGATTAAGTGTGCTACTTTGTTTTAGAGTTAGTTTAGTTCTCAAAGTCCTGGGAGCTCAATAAATCTTTGAATAAAAGAATAACGTGAAGCATAGAAGTTTTTTTCGACTGTCTGGTATAATCCAAAAATTGCTATTGTTTATATTATTTCAAGTAATTTGGTGAATTCAAAGAATAACGTGAAGCATAGAAGTTTTTTTCGACTGTCTGGTATAATCCAAAAATTGCTGTTGTTTATATTATTTCAAGTAATTTGGTGGTTGATTTCAAGTAGAAATATTGATATTTGAGACTGTGTGACTATCAAAGGTTATTCTTTCACCATTTTTTATACATAACTAAGAACCCCAGTTTTATAATAATATCTATATCTATATCTATATCTATATAAAGAGGTTGTTGGAAAAATACATTGATAGAAAGTTTGACCAAATAAATATAATGTTTGACTTACTATTAATGGAAAGTTAAAAAAGACACATGTGAATCTTTAGTAACAAAATCTAAATCCTATTTTTTTGGTAACAAATTTAGAGATTCTTATGGCAAAATTTGAATACCATATTTTTCGTATCTTATTTTATTTTTTTACCAAAATTTAAATCATATTATTTTTGGTAACAAATTTGGAGATTCTTATGTAAAATCGTGCAAATTGGATACAAATTTAGGAAGCAAATAGTTGTATAATTCTTAACCAATTCTTCCAATCTTATTGAATAATTTTTTCTTTCAAAAGAATTGTGTAAATTGGATAAAGCCACGTGCAATTTTTATTTTAAAATAAAATTGATATTTGGACGGAATGTACATTCAAAATCGTGTCCATATTTTTTGGTAACAAAAGCGGTTCATCATTGATATTTAAAGTCACCTTATCCAATTATTTAGGAAAAATTATGTGCAACTTTTCAAAATTTAAATACATCGATTTTTTTGGATTCTTATGTTTTTTCTTAACCATGTTTTACCGAGATTTCGGTAAGTTCATATTATTTTTATTTTTTTTTGGTTAAGTTCATATCATTTTCTTTAGGAAAGAGACAGTTGCATAAACATTAACAATTTATTTCAATTTTTTATTAGAATTATTTTCAATTCAATTTGTTTGGTACAAAAATTGGTGCAATATTAGGAAAATTTGGTTGCATTTTTAGAAAAAAATGATGATTTTTTTTATTTGGGTTTAAAAAAAATCGGATCAATTTGTTTGATATAAAAATCGGTTTATTGGTAGGAAAATTGGTTTCATTTCCGGAACTAAGTAATGATTTTTTTCAATGTTTCTTAATTGAAATTTGGAATTAGATTTAAAATAAATAATGAGTGAAAATCCCTAAAAAAATTTACTCTTTTTTGTACTTTAATTTTGTTCAATAAATAAGATATTTTATTTTTTTTTTTAAAACTTGTTGACTAATAACTAATAATATGCAATTTTGGAAAAATTCGAACACCTATGTAGTATTTTACGTGCCAAAGAATCAAATCAATAATGTTGTACATAAGGAAGTGTTTAATAACATATAAATTTTATTTTCATGAAATTTTTAATGGCAAGAGACAATTTAAATACAAAAATATTTTTTAAAGAATATATATATAATAAATGCTCCCGTGCATCGCACGGGCACCATACTAGTTTGTTGAGTAAAATGAAATAGTTTTTTTGTTCTTCCTTTTTTTGACAGTTATGGAGTTGTAATATGTCCTTGGAATACCATGGTACAGTGTGTAGAAAGGATTGAGCATTTTTGTGCTTAAGTGTTGTGAGTTTGATAGGCAATCAATGGGTCAGGGTCAATCTTTATCACACGTTGGCCTGCTCTTGAAGAAATCGATTTTCCGTCACGGCCAATAATATGTAGTTGTTTCCCGTGTCACTAATCGAAAAGGGTTGAAGATTTTAGTTTGTGGTGAGAATGGTTTGCCTACAAAGCAAACAAAGAATGTTGTGTACAAAGAAGTTTTAATAACATGTATTTCATATTTATTTATTTTGTTTTGTATTTTTTATTCACACAAAGAATTAAAAAAAAAAAGATTCAACAAATTGCCTGAAAAAATGTTCATCCGCGCATCGCACGGGTTTCGTACTAGTAAATAAACAAAAAGATAGTGCCCATAACGTTAGAAACCAACTTTCCAAAGATAAAAAGTTTGTGGGACCCACTTCTAAAACTTACCAAATATAGAAAGTGAGTTGCCTAATTATATAGTAAATAGATTACCTAACTGCAGTATTATTGACTAACAAATTGCAAAGTGCTATAATGAGTATATGAATAGTTACACTGAGAAAATGTTGATAGAGCATCCCTGGAAGTTCCTTAATATGAATTGCGGTAGCATGTCTGAGGTTAGCCCTTTCAATGGCTCAATTTTGGTAAAAAAATCTTGTTAATTTATGTGTGCTCTCTGCATTTCAGTAGCCATTACATTAACAGAGATATTTGGAGTAAACCAATAGCAATTCATTTAACCCTAGTAAGTACATTTTCATGAGGATTGCTGATGAATCGTAATACGTTCGATAATTTTTGGTGTTAGAAGACAATTACATTCATAGGTTTTTGTAAAATCGGCTTTCATAGATTTCAGACATCAGTGATTGTGGGTGGTTGCCTAGGAAAACATCAAGGATCCCGAGAGATGTTAGATTAACTCTCGAATCAATGGTCCACAAGCAATTTTCAACACATTGAATGCCTTCATTACTTGCTCAATAATTTGCAAGCTCAAAACTGTAAAGAAGACTCCAACAAAGATTTTCACCGCTGAAAGCTCCAGTCATCTTGCCATCTTTTTTTCTTTTATGTTCCCTCAACTCCTCCCAATGGAGTCTAGAACAAAATTTGCAAATGACGATTATGACCCTGCCCCGGACATTTGCTTTCCCAACATTAGCTTGGAACCAGAGATACTGGATGACCGACTTCCACACCGATAATCTTTCGATATCAAAAGGTTGCCTTCACGATTACCATAACTTAACCAGTACCCCTTGGCAGCTTCATCTGTCAATCAAGAATTTGGGATTCATAAGGATTCTTTTTATACTGTTGATCCCTTTTCAAGTGGCTCTTTTGTCGATTTTGATTTACGTGAACATGATAGCATTTGTTCCGTCATGCAAGATTTGGAAGTTGGTGGGTGTTTGAACTTTTCAGACGGGCAAGATCCATTAATGGACATTGAAACAGCATTGACGTACCATGACACTAAGCCTTTCAACTTTGTTGTCGCTGAAGAGAGCTATTGTCTGACTGCCGATAACCTTGGTTTCCCCAAACAAGGTGGCAGTAAAAGAAGCAAGAATGTTATCCAGTGTAGGAAGGGCAAAGTTAGAGAATTGTCGTCTACTAAAATGTGCATTATGGGACATAAGTACTAATCGGCTAAAGGCCAGTGGACCATTGACGAGGACAGGTGAGAAGGAAAAAAATTGGAATGATTATTTTTTTCCCCTGATATGCTTGAGATATTAACTGCAAATGTAGATTAATTGCAGACTCTTGACCCATCTGGCGGGAAAATATGGTGAGAGAAAATGGTCTACTATTGCACAAATGCTGAAGGGAAGGATAGGCAAACAGTGCAGACAGAGATGGCATAACCATCTGAGACCTGATATTAAGGTTTAGCTTTGAATTTTTCTAAATTAGTTATTTGAATATCAAATGTTACAATCCCTTTTTGTTCGTGGAATGACGGATTTTGGTTTTGGGTTCTTCTTTTCCGGTGTGTTGATTTCACACTATATTTCGAAGATATAGAACATCTGACGCAAATGGAAGTTGCATGCAGCCTCAAGTTTTGTGTTACAGGATTTTTCGGAACCAACTTAATTTATAGAATTAACACGAGTCACGCATGGTTTATTTATTTTTCTATTTATTGTGTACCAGCATGCTAAGTTACATGAATCAATTTATCTTTATATTATTACTTAAATAGAGTTTTAAGTAAAATATCCAATTAATAAATCTGATTCTCGTTTTTGATCTGTTCTATCTGGATATTCAGGATTAAGACCTAAAAAATCCAATACAATATCAAGTTTTTCTTTTTCTTTTTTCTGTTACATATTTTATTTATACAAACATCTATTTCATCCAGAAGGATTTATGGACTGAGGAGGAAGACATAATCCTGACCAAGATTCATGGACAAGTCGAAAACAAATGTGCAGAAACCGCGAAAAGTCTCCTTAGAAGAACAGAGAACTCTACAAAAAGAAGGAAATTCTCAAGGCGAAGTTGCCGGACCAAAATGGCCTAAGCCTAGTTCCCTTCTTCAGAACAATATCAAGAGTCTCGACTTTGAGAAGAAAAGCAGCAGCTTACCAAAAATGAACCGAACTCCGAAAACCATTGACCCTGAAATCCTGAATAACAAAACTTCAATTGTTAAGAATTCAGAAATGAAGTTTCAAACCAAACATTGTCAATACGGCTTTGCTGATGTCCCTGAGTTCACTTTTAACGACTATCACCTGTTCAGAGGTAATAACATGGAGTCATTGCTGGTTGATATATATGAATCGGTGGCCCATCTGGGATTGACGAACACAAATGTTGCGATGTTGACTTTCCTTTCAAATGTCGACTCATTTGATGGAAACATGTAAACTGTAATATGTGATGTTTGGAAGCCAGGTACATGTCTCCCTCATTGTGTTGGAATATATAAATTGTAGCCTTTTGCATGATTTTGCAATGCCACTCTTCATTTTCGAGACCAGGTTTGAATTGCATTAACATGATATTTTATATACATAGTTTAGTTTACATAATTGTCTTGTTTGGTTCAGAATTTAGGTGTGCTTCAACTTGTTATGCTTGACTGATATCCAACATTTTCTTTTAATTTATCCAACCTCTGGTTTCATGGAATTCTGTAAAATAGCTATTCCCAACAAATTACAACAACAACAGTTGGAGTTTTTAGTTCAAACTGAACGACCAAATATGCATTTTTGCCTGTAATAAGTGAAGGGAATTCCACAATTTCCAGCTCAAAATATAATCCACACAAGTTCTTTTAAAAACTGAACAATTGTCTAAAGCAAGCCTTGTTAGAGCCACAACAAGTGAAGATCAAATCGTCATATTTTGCATCTAAAATATATTAGTGAAAGGCAAAAAAGCGCATACTACATAGAGGAACTAAGAACCAAGAAAAATTTCATCCCGACTTAGCATACAAGTTCACAACCGTTTCCTAGTCATAACTTTTTCTTGAGCAGCCCTGAAGTTTGGCAGAGTATAAAAGAAAATTTTTAATTGTTTTCTAAACAATGTATATGCCCTTAAACAAATTAGAAAAGTGCATCTGAAAACTTATGTTTGTTAACAAAAAGAGAATGTATTTTTGTGAAAATGGAAACAAATATCAAGGGGTATGTGAAGTTTGAAAAATAGGTTTTAGCTGTTTACCTCTTCTATGTAATCTATATCTATATCTATATAATGGACCAATTCTTATTGCCATAATTGACATGATTTTGGGCGGGAGTTTTTTTTCGTCTATATTTGACATTTAATTAATATTTATTTATTAGAAAATTTTATGCATGAAAAACATAATTAATTTTTATACACTCAATGACTAATACTCATTAACTACAAATTGACTTAAATTGAAAGTTTGATCGTAGATTTATTAGATATATTTTCAATAATATCTTATATTAATATAATAGTAATTTATTGACACAATTCAAAAAATTATTATGGAAATTGATTTGATTAAATATATTATCATCTATGGTTGTAGATATTAATTTAATTAATTATATCCACTGTTCAGAAGTACTTAAAATATTTAATAAAATAATCAGAATAACTATGTTTAAATCATACTAAATAAATAATTTAAAGATTAATAAAAGTTTCTGATATTTAGTAAATTTAACAATAAAAAAGTACATCCCCATTGAATACATCATATGCAGTGATAAAACTGTTGAAAACTTAAATAATATATTAATAAAAATAAAATTTGATGGTCGGGTAATATCAATGTATAATAATTTAAATTATAGCACTTGGTAATTATGAAATATATAATACATCTAAATATTCGAATAGATGCTATTTAACTCATTATAAAAGTTGAAAAAATAAATTAAAGAAATAAACATAAATGAAAAATGAAAACATAAAAATAAAATATTTAACCATAAAAAATTTGTGTGTTGCATAAGGATTAAAGTTACTAAAAATTAAAATTTATTTTTATCAAAGTTTTTAACACTTAATGCACTTAATAATTATAGCGGAAGATAAATATTAGGGGTTAAACATTGGTCAATTATCAAGCAATGTGCAAATTATGAATTGTTAAAAAAAATATAAGACTCTAATAAACGCTAATTTTATAAGTACATATAAGTAATTTGTATGCAAATATCACATGATCTTATACATTTATAATATTTTATAAACTTACAAATAATAAATTTTATATATTAAATAGTCAAAAATTACAAAAAAAATTATAAAAATATAAATTAATAATAATAGTAAATAAATAAATGTCATATTATTTCTGAATAGAATAATGTGGAGAATATAATTTCATATTGCCTTAAATAATTTTATAATATTTAAATAAAAAATATTTTTTGAATTATACCCCATGCATCGCACGGGTATCAACACTAGTTTAGACTAAACCTCAAGTATGTTATAGTAGTTAATACAAAAATTTTGCCTTTTATAGAAGAGACAGTTCTGAAATATGAAGAATTAAATGAATTAAAAAATAAACAAATAAACAAATAAATAATAGAAAGAATAATGTTATACCTAAAGAGTTGATAGGCGAAACAGGTGTGCGGAAGAAGAGAAGAGACGTGACATCACCACAACCCGCTTAACACAGTTGCCCATAGAATGAGTATCAAGAGATACACGCCGCAATATCATGTAAATGACCTATCCAAACAAATTAATCAGAAATTATTTTGGCCAATTATAAAATGAAAATATCTGAATACATTTATTACATGTGTTTAGTAATTAAATAGACTTATTGCCCTTTATCTCAAACCCTTCTCAGATTCCAAATATTAGCCTTTGTAAGTGGGTTTGCATGTATCTTACAACAAAAAAAAAAAAATGATGGATGTGTCAAAAGTTTATTTAAAGTTCAATCATGGTTATGGTTGCTCTAATCAATAATACCAGAGAAAGTGAATTCTAATTAAGCAAAATTTTCGGTGGTTGTCAAGAAAAATGATTCAAAACTTGAGACTCAGACCAAATCCAGCGTATCAGATGCAATATTGATACATGTCTGCAATGAGTATATAAAGAAAGCATGTAGACATTGAGCAAGGGCTTTGTGCAGAATATATGAAATGGGTTCGCATAAGTGCAGGCATGGGGAACTCGCGAGCTAGGCAAAATGGGTTCGCGGGCGTAGACGACAAGTGGCTAGGCGTGCAGCACTGGAGAACTCGCGAGCTGGACGAGTCTCCGTTCGCTGGCTGGCAGGCGCTCGCGAGTGCTGACACGGCTGGAAAACGCACTTGTGAGTCAGACGAAATATTCCGTGGGCTGGTAGGCGCTAGCGAGTGCTGGCGTGGCTGGAAAACGCACTCGCGAGCTAGGTGAAATTATCCGCGGGCTGGTAGCAGGACTCGCGGGCGAGGACGAGGCACTCGCGACCCGCACGAACAGGGATTCGCGGGCGCGAGCTGCTGGGCGGCTGGGCAGACAGGCACGTGGGTCGTGCTGGAACGCGCACGCGCGGGTCCATCTAGCTCCAACCGATTTCCTCATGGGCGAGCACTTTCTCGGGCGACTTTTCGGCATTTCCCGCTGAATTTCTTGTCGACTTTCTGGAATGCGATTTTCCTATAAAATAAAAAATAAAAAGATAAATAAAAAGCACAAGACACTAAAACGACACAAAATTACAAAAACGAGCAAAAACAACTAAATGAACTGGGAACAACCTAAAACAAAATAAAACGAACACAAATAAAACACACAAAATAACAACAAAAACATACAAAACAGTCTCCCACTGCAACCATCGCCCCTCTCGAAGCGTTGCCCATGCAAACAAATATCTCGACATCACTCAACTACTGGGTTTGCTAAAACCTCTGCAAAGTATTGCAGACATGGTCATTCTCTCACGTATCTACCCACCAGCTGCTGGTAGATAACAGGACTAAACATTTTCATCAGACTACCCAACTCACCATACAGACAACATAACTACCCAACTCATCTATACTATTGATCAGCAGAATGGATCTCACTTTTTAGTGAATCAAAGTAGCAATTACTGTATGCACGTGCTTGTTTATATCTTAAGAATTAAGAACACGCAGTAATTAACCAATGTCTAGTTATTTACATGGTCAATATAAAACAAACTTATCTTCTATGAGATCCATTCAATACATACGAGATGTATTAATGCAATTCCTCAGTCAAGACAAATGATCTGAATTACACTGCAACCGATCACGATGAGTTGTTCAATTCCATCTAGGTTGTGAAATAATTATTTATGTTTTACAAATAAAAAATAATATGATCTTATGACCATCCATGTTGAACCATAATTATTCAAATGTAAAACATTAGAATGTAAAGCTATTTAATTAAACATGATTCTCAATCAACAAGAAATAATGTTTATCATGCAAAAAGCAAAGCTTTCATTATATGAACTAACAAGGTGAACATGAGTCGGTAATATTCGGTGAGAAATCGGGAACCAAAATTCAGAGATCACTAAAATTCAATCTCCGAAATCGTATTATAATCAGGAAAATTCGGTATTCGGGACTATCGGAGCAGTTCGGTTCAGACCTTTGAAGATTTCTAATTATTTTTTTAATTTTTTAAATGACTATCTAGTTATAATTAAAATTTTATATGCTTTTAGAAAAAAAATAAAAATTAAATCTAACACTTATCAATACTTCACCATATTAAAGAGTTTATTTTAAAATCACTTTTAGAAGTAACTAAAAATTTTATTTTAGACTAAACTTGAGCAACTAATAATGAAAATTGAAATTCAAACATAATATAATATAGTTTTTTTCTTAAAAATATTTTTTAACCTTTCATACCATTTTAATTATAAGATAGAATAAAACTAAGAAAAGTATCAACAAATTTAAGTTAAGTTTAAATAATTTATTAAATATTTTTTTTTAAAAAAATATTTCTTTGTCCTATCATACCATTTTAAATAAATTTTTAAAACAGAAAAACATCTAATTATAAATCAAGTATTATTAAGCATAAAATTTAATTGAGGTTTAATTACATTACTATATGTTATTTAGTATTTTAAAAATACACAAATTATATAAGATTAAAGATGGCATAAAATACTTGAACAACACACATCTAATGTTATAATTTAATTCTTAATTTCAGTTCAATTCGGTTCGTTATGTGATGATTCGGTTCGATTCTCGATACTGATATTTGTAAAATCACTAGACTCATACCAATTATATTTTTATTTGGTTCTTTAGGAGTAAATAAAGCGATCAACGACTATTTTTCGATTCAATTTTCAGAGCGGTTCAAAATTTTTCGAATCCTGCCCGGACCTAACCCGAACCCACTCAAAATAAAATGTTACTTCGTGGCCCATTCCCACTTACCCGGCCCGTTTGGGAATTAAACCCCAATACTGAAAACTGAAAAGCGAAAACCTCACATCACAACCTCTACTACCTCAACTTGTTCTACGGCACGCTGCCCTAAAATATCGACGCTGAGTTTTGATTTTCCCTTTCCCGACGAATCATGCCGGATGTACAATCCATGGTCGATGAATTCGTAATCAAGCTCAGGAAACGGTAGAAGATTTCAGAAGAATCAAATTTTATTATGAGTAACCTTTTTTCTTGGCTTCAATTTCCTTGTTCGGTTTTGTGTGTAATGGCAGTAAAATCGAGGGATCAAAGGCCACGGCGAAGCTAACGGCGGAATTGCTTCGTTCGTTTATATCTCAACAGCGGCTTCCCAACAGTAACCAGGCCGGTGCTCTTATCGATGCCGTTAAGTCTGTTGGTGAGAAACTCATTGCTGCAAATCCTGTCGGTATGTTGACTATCCACCAAGTAGAAACTTATGTGCAAAATTCCTATATTGTTGCCCGGTCTCATATTCCCCTCTTTATTTTGTAAAACCATGCCCAGATACTCAAGTGATTGGTATATTGGAATGACACGAGTGCTACCATGAAGTTGTTTGTATCTTGGTGTCAGTTTGAATTTAGTTGATCTCGGTTAATTGCACATCCACAGATGTGTAAAATGGTGTTTGTTTAACATAATATCTAATTGAAAAAAAAAAAAACATAATACCTAATTAAAATATTATCTCAAGTGTATTGTCATAGTTCATTAGTCACAAGTTACTTTTGGTTATAGCAAATGTAAGATGGACGCCTTACATTGCCCAGGCACTAACTTTTGCTGACCCCAGCACATAGACATCATAATCTCATTTTCTTGCTGAGTGTGTTTTGGATCACTTGGTGTTGCAATACACGATACTGATTTGCTACAAGAACTTACAAACTTTTTTTGCTCAACAAGAAATCCTGCCTTAGAAGCTCATTCTTCAACACATAAAGCAACAATGTAGATTTTCTCCTCTCCTTTTTCTGTCCCTTGTAATTACTTAGAGTTGAAATTCCATTCTGTTTCCTTTTCTATCTTCAGTTTCAATAGCCTGATTGCGTTCCGTGACTTTGGTTCCAGAGTTGGCGGTTGGAAATGTTGTACGGCGTGTTCTGCATATCATACGTGAAGAAGACCTCTCTCTAGCTACTGCGGCAGTTGGTGGGTTGACTTTGGCAGGTGAAAGTGACGATGAAGGTGACACTGAACAGGATGATCATCCTGTTCTCTCAGCAACTGCTGTAGCTGCTGCTGCAAGAAATGCATTAAGGCCGCCTTCTTTGCAGACTCTCCTTGAGGACGTACCTCACTCTGCAGCTGTTCCTCACGCCTCTTCTTCTGGAGGTGATTCTGAAGGAAAAAGCAAATGTATGTTATCCAACTCTCACTTGATACAACTATCTACAACCAGTTGTAATGTACATGATCATTGTTTTTAAAATAAAGTTCTGATGTAAGCGGGTGATGATGGAAATTGGAAACTGCCATGCTTGAGCTTGGATCAAATAAATCTCTAGCTTTATTAATCAATTAATTTATGTGTTAATTGTCTTTTTACTTTTAACTCCATCATTGTGTCTGTGCCTTGCAGCTGCTGATAGAAATTCATCAACTCGGAAACTAAAGCACAATGTCATTGAGTCGGTTAATGATCTCATTCGAGAAATTTCCTCTTGCCATGAAGGGATTGCTGAACAAGCAGTGGAACATATACATCAGAAGTACACCCTTGTTTTGTTTTATTCGAACATTAATTAGTTATATGCGCCTGTATATTTATTTGAGGTGGAAAGCTTTATGATGTGTTCTGTTCTTACTGTGATTTCTGTTCTCTTACTTCATGTAATGAGCTCCAGAGCTTCCATATTTGCATAATCTGAAAGATAGTTTCCATGTGATGTCATGAAGAAATAATAATGGATCCACATTCATGTTTTAGTGAACCATTTCACATATCTCGTACACATACATGTACAATGAGATAAGTTGAGTATTTAAAGAGTTGTGGCGTGGGGAAAATTTTGATTATTGTTATGGCATTGTTCTCCAGGTTTAGAATGGTATGGCTAATTGAGGTACTGACTTCTAACTTGGCCACTTGGGTACATGTTGCACTTTACTGTGGCATTTTTTTCTTGGGGAATGAGGTACAAGGCTCAAATGATTTTAGATTCTAAGCGAGACGCATCGTTGGTTTTATGACTTTATAAACATGATTAACGTTAGTTAATAAATCAAAACTAGCCAATCATATACAACAATTATTTTTTTTTTTTTTTGCAAATAAGAACTTAGTGACACCATATATCTTACCGATATTATAGTGAATTGCTAAAGTTTATATGAGAAACGGATGGCACGATATTACTTGCCATTTATATCCCTGAAGATCATGTGTAGTGCTTTCTATATATCTTTTGGATTTTTATTCTTGTTTTTTCTATCGGTCCCATACTAATTCTAGGATCAAGTCTATCTTAATCCCTTTACATTCTACTGATATTTGTAGTGTTCTTTGTTGTTCGTATGTATCATATGTAGCAATCATAATGTGAGAGTTATTTTACCATTTATGTCCTTTCCCACAATCCTTCTTTTTGCGCTATTAGATAACACTGACGGCTACCTTAATTGTTATTGTTTTCAATTTACAGTGAGGTAATCTTGACTTTAGGCAGTTCAAGGACAGTGCTGGAATTTCTATGTGCTGCAAAGGAGAAAAAGCGGTCATTCCGTGTGTTTGTTGCTGAAGGTGCTCCAAGGTTGATTTTGCAAATTATTACTCTTCTATGGCAAATTGAGTTCACTTTTATTTTGTGCAATCAAATGAAGAGTTGTCTTTTCAATCCTCTTCGCATTTCCATCTTCTTTCTTTCCTCAGGTATCAGGGGCATGCTTTAGCGAAAGAATTGGCTGCAAGGGGGCTGCAAACAACAGTTATTACTGATTCTGCAGTTTTTGCGATGATATCCAGAGTCAACATGGTGTGTGTAATGATTGCACAGTTCTTTAATTTTCATTTTCTATGCCTTCAATTGAAGAACTTCTCATTTACAGGTAATAGTTGGAGCACATGCTGTCATGGCTAATGGTGGGGTTATAGCACCTGTTGGGTTGAATATGGTGGCCCTAGCAGCTCAAAAGCATGCCGTCCCTTTTGTTGTACTCGCTGGGGTTCATAAGGTATCATGTTGCAAGTATCTGTACTCTTATTTGCCATTTTACTAATTTGCAGATATGACTTGTGCAGTTGTCTGCATATTTTCCATTAGAAAATTAAGATCTTTGATTAGGGATGTTGTCGCATTATAAAGCTTGATGTCTGACATCATAGACATGAAATAAGAAAAAATATGATACTTTCAGATTACATCAATTTCCAAGCTCAAAAATCTTGTCCGCCACTTCAGAGTTCTAATTGGAATAGTAAAAGCTGGCAATGACTGTATGCTGCACTAATTCTGGCCTAACGATCATCATATACTTAATTCTTGTTGTTCGAGGAGGAAATGCATACTGAGAGGAAGGAATTAAAACATGTTGATACATAATTGTTGAAGCAAGGGAAATTGTCATAATCTAGGCCTCAAGTACGAAATCGATTTCTTTGCCAGCCAGCTTAGACCGCCTCTACTACGGTTGATGGAACATTTTGTACACAAGTTATTGAGGGGATGCTCGAGTTAAAGCTGTTATGTCAAATATTATTTTCTAAATCTATCTACCTTGTGTGCTAATGCTTCATACTGCGTTTAATGTTTACATCACTCATTCACAAGTCTAAGCTCATCATTGACTTAGAGCTTCTTGCTTGGCTGACCTGAAAAGTGAAATGGCTACTGTATCGTGGATGAAAATCAACGATGTAAAACAATAATGTGCATTTTTTTGGTTGAGTAATTTAAATAATAGGCCAATCAAGCTCTATAAGAATTCAATCTTATAAATGGTAAATTGAGGCTTTTTGGTTGGCATCTTTCAAGGAGCATTATGATCTCTTAGTGAATTGATACATGTATGTATTTGTGGTATCCATTAGCATATTATTTATTTGCATGGAATAGAGTTTTATCTTGCATTGCCCTCCTAGTTGTATATGTGTATAAAATATATGTAACTTCCATTTACTTAACAGTGCTTATTTGTTCAATTACAGTTATGTCCTCTGTACCCACACAACCCTGAGGTATTATTGAATGAATTGAAGTCTCCATCTGAGCTGCTGGACTTTGGAGAGTTCTCAGATTGCTTGGACTTTGGGATTGACACTGGCTCACCACTTCTTCATGTTGTCAATCCGGCATTTGATTATGTGCCTCCAAATTTTGTTAGCCTATTTATTACTGACACGTAAGTTTTCTGAGTGATAGTCTAAGTAACATAGTTAGAAATCTTTTAGCTTACATACTGGTTCCTCAGTTTTATTTCTCCAACTTTGGATAATATATAAATAAGTGGTAATGCATCTCTTCTGGTTTAATTGGTTTTAAAACAATTGGATTAAAAATTACTTGTTGAAGTGTATGTGTGTATATAGATTATAAAAAATTATTGAGCGTTTATTCATATATATATATATGTGTGTGTGTGTGTGTGTGTGTGTGTGTGTGTGTGTGTGTATGTATATGTCCGTTACCATATTCATTTTCAAAATTATCTATGTGCTAAAATTCATGTTTTTGACTCTTGTTCATACAGAGGTGGTCACAACCCTTCCTACATATACCGTCTCATTGCTGATTATTACTCTGCTGATGATTTAGTTGTACGGCGAAAACCAGCTTCTTGAGTTCAGTTCTTAGCCAACTCTTTTTCTGGAAACATGTTGGTAGGTCTTTCTGTAAGTTATCTAGTTCAATTTTAATGCTACTTCCCTGAAACATAATGCGAAATTGATTATCAATTAGTGCATAATGAATTCAACTTGTTGTAAGTGGAATTGTGTGACTGGTACGAGCCAATCAGTATAAGTACTGCCATTCTATGATATTAATTAATGGGCTCGACGTTTAAAGCGCTTTGTTATTTTGTGTATTTGATTTATTCTTTCCCCCCTACTATTAAATAGCGATTTCAAATAAAACATTTTTGATGTTTTCATCTTTTATTGGTCTAAAAGATCTTCACTCGGTTAGGTTTCCATTATATCAAATGAGATGTGAATACATGCATCAGCGTCAAGTGTTTGAATGGCATAGCCAATAATTTGGGCTTGCATTAACGCCATATATTTTAATTTGGATCTTCAAGCATTTCCAAAGTTTAGAGTGATAAATTGGCTGTTAATTATCATGTGTGGTTTAAAGTGGATTGGGGGATTTAACCTGTGAGGGAATGAGCGCGGTGGAATGTCAGGGCCTCTCTTTTCTCATCGAAGCTATGAACATATCTTTTTTGGCACTATGATAGTTGCACATTCTCCAAAAAATCTGATTCTTCTAAGTATCCATTGTTTCTAAATTGGATCAATTTTTGCGGGTTGTTTTGTTTTAGTCCAATCCATAGTTCACCGTTATTGAAGTAATTTACCTTTTTTAACATTGAATTCAAGACCTGACATAGCTCTTCAGCTTTGATATGCCTGTACGTGTTTTTTTTTTCTTCTTCTTATATTTACCCTGCAATATTTATTTTTGAATGAATTAACTGGTCGCTTTGACATTCTGCTTCTTTTGGCATATCACTGACCTTGGGTCAGTTTATTTATAATCTCTACACTTATTCCACATTTTTTTCTTTTAATATCTGGCAGTGGAATTAGCTTAGATGATGAAGTTCTCAAAGTGGGGCAATGAGTGGGAAGGGATTAGAGCTCTTTAGAAGCTTGCGGGAAGCAACTGATGTGTAGAGGAAGAGTACATACAATAGAAAATTGAAAATGTTGGGCTGATTTTAATCCCCTTCCTTTTGATCTGCCACTACGAGAATAGTAGATGATGTTGAAGTAATTAAGTTTCTATTGCACCACAGAGGAGTGAGCATATTGGGCATCTTTACATATTTTTACTTAAATCTGCTTTTAAACTCTCAAATGTGGCTTGTTCAAGATGAGATGAAGATCAGTCTGTTATAACTGCTGATACCGATGATGGCTGTTAATTACGCCAAGAAAAACCCTCGACTTTTAAAATTCTATTCTATTCAAGGTCTTTTCATTGGGGGGTATAATTTTCATATTCACTTAACTTTATTTTAATAGATATGGTAATGAATAATGATAGGTTGATTGTCTCGTTACTAGTTACAGGAGCTATGAAATGCATAAGAGTTAATGGTTTTCAATTTTATTTTTCTTTAGCGATGTGATGAATTGTATCTATAATCTTTCGTATATGTAGTCTGGAAGCTACAATTCATGAACCAATACCTTAAATATAGTTACGGGGAAGGAGGATTAATTTATGGAGCAGCTAATTGAAGTGTTCCCCTTTTTCATTTGTATTAAAGCTAAGTATTGATGCGTACGGGAAATGACGCCAAGGAGACTTATACCCTAATGGTTTTTAGTCCTTTTTTATTTGGCCAAGCACTCTATAATAGTGAAATCCTACATGAACATGAAGAATATAATGAAGAAAACTGAAAAATAGAACTAAAACTTTGAATTTGAAAACTGCTCTTATTGAACATTCAACCTCTAATTAACACTCAAAATCTAATTTTAGGTCAAGACGCTCGTTACCAATCATAAGAAAATAAAACCAATAAGGCACACCTGCTTATTCATTATTGCATACGGTTTACATGATTAAACATGGGTCTAAAATGCTAACATTTTTACCTCCAAAGAAAAATACTAACAAAATACAGATTATTACTGTTCTCCATCTTGCAGATAGTTCTCTCATAACTATCACAAATTCTAATATCCATGAAATACGGAAAATCATGCACATCAATATAATATAGATGACTTGTGAACTGCATACTTCAGACAATCAAAGAGAAAAAGATGAGGTCATATATATTAAAAAACCCACAGATCCATACACTGATGCACCTTTTCACAGTAGTCATAAAGTCACATGTTCAAGTAGCTTCACCACTTCAAAGTCAAAACACGAATAAATAGGTTACAAGTCTTCATCATAGATTTACCGAGAGCAGCTCGGTAAATTTCACATCCCACTAAAAATAAAATTTTTACGTGAGTTCACTGTAACATGTAATTATGCAACCAAGCATGTAACTAATCCAGTCGGCTAGCAATGAAAAAGAGAATCCTCAATCCATACCAACACGATAGTCAGAAAAAAACGAAGGAATTACCCTGATAAACATTTGGAGGGCCAATCCTTTTTTCTTCTTTTTTCCCTCTTCATTTGGAAGATTTTTCGACATTCATCTCGACTACATCTGTATTTTCACTGTTCATAGCATTTTTGGATGTAACAAAACAAAGATCATTTTGAGACTCATCTCCTTGTGGAAATATGGCAGTAGGAGGTTTTGATTCAGGTGGCTCAGCAGGTTTGCCAGAGAATTCAATAGGCTGATGGAAGAGCAAATGGGCCACTGTACGGTCAATCGGGTTTGTATCTGTCTCTACATCTGGCATTCTACTAAACCTGCCCCACCAAATAATGAGTAGGAAAATAAACTTTTACTACTATACAGAAGGAGGATAGTTGACACAAAATGCTGTAGGAAAAAAAAAAAGAGAGAGAGAGAGAGAGAGACCACACTGAAACAATTAATATCAGAAAATGATTTGTTCTGCTCTTTCAATTTTCAGCATCTGCTTTTTAGAGTTGTTAAAAGAAACAAGTCGCTCGCGAGCTTTTTGGCTCCGATTTGGCTCGTCTTGTTTGAAATATGAGTTGAGCTCCATTTTTTGGACTGGGTTTAATAAGAAATCGAAGCACAAGGAAAAAAGGCGGGTATATTTCGGAATGAGTGCTGCAGCTAAGTTACGAACCTCTCATGGCCATTTAAATCTTTGTTGCTACCAAGTTCATCTCTGCTGCTTGTGCTGCTCATCTCATTTGGATATTGCCTCCACATAGCACTTTGGGCCAGCCGATACAAACTGTCCCGTATGCAAAGTCTTATTCGCATGTCCATCTGTAAAATGCACACAATTTTGTTAATATTTTTAACTTAAAATTACACCAAAACCCCTGGAGCCATTAGATTTTATTGTTCAACGTTTTTCATTTTAATTTACTCCATAAACTATGCTTTATCCCCACTTTTCTTCCTGAGCTATAACAGGCATGTGTCAATAGTTTCATCATCGAGGGGAAAAGTCAAATAAAACCCAAATAAGTTGTTTTCAAGTGGAAATTCACTCTTTTTTTTTTCTTTAAATAAAAATAAAACAAGACTAACTTTAGAGATGTGATCTTGAAGCCGGTATAGCACCGATTCCTCGACCGAGTAATTTTCGAAAACCGAATGATAGTTCTCAACTGCAGCTACTACTTTCGAATGCTGAGAAGCTTGATTTTTGAAGTGCAGCTGCTGCTTTTGAATTGCCATTATTGCCCTCATCTGCTGCCGTCTCCTCAGCTTCTCGATTTTTTCTTTGGGCGTCATAGCCGGCAGCAAATCGCCTTGTTCGTGATTTTTTCTCTCCAAAGGATGGAATTGTGAGGATAAGTATTGATTCATCATGTTGCTACCATACAAAGGGATTTGCTGATGGGTGATTGGACTGTTAAATTGTTGATAAGGCTTGGCCCATGCCTTGCTTTCACTTTTCTTGCTTGCTTCCTCACCCTTGGCTAACTTTTTCTTCCTGTTGCCCTAAAAAGGTGACGAAAAATAGCTATGTTGATGCTAAAATCAGTGTTCTTGTTGAGGCATTTAGAGAATTGCAACAGAAGTTTCATCATTAGCTGCAGTTGCAAATGCATAATATTCATACTAGAATGATTGTATACATTTTCTATCTTCTTTCCTCATGAAATGCCAAGAATGATTCAGGACACTCTTTGTGAATTCATAACACAGCAAATTCAACCACAGGAAATCCATGTTTATTCATATCAACAAAATTTTTAGTGTAGAGAAAGGTTACTTTGTTCCGGAAGTCATTAAGGATAGTGCCAGTTCCATCATTAATTTGCTCATTGCATGTTTTGATCTTTTCACCCATAACACAACTCTGAATAAGATAAACACAAATACAAGCTCAAAATCTGGCTGAACCAATCCATAGAGTTCATCAGTAAAAAGAGAAAAAAAAAAAAAAAAGATATATTTCCTCTGTACCTTTTCTTTTAGTAATAGGTCACTTTTACCTCCAGAATTTTCAACAGTATCTATGCTTGCCTGTACATCCTTTATCTCAGATTGTTTCACTGAGTTCCTAAATGCTCCAATCGGCAAATCAGAAGAATCGGCAGACAAAGGATTTGAGTCAATATGGCTGCTGGTCAAGTCTTTGGAAGATGGCCATAGCTCATCAGCATTATCGACACTCAAGTCCCCAAATATTGGGTCATTATTGCTGCAAGATATCACTTGTGAGGATAACCAGGTCAGATTGACATATTGTTTTTAGCCACTTTTGGACCCTTAGCTTCATGGCATCAATGAAGCTAACTTTTGTGAATTTACCTAAATATCCTGTCTAGATCATCGAAACTTCCTATATTTGCCCATCCATAGTCAACAAAGTCACCGTCTTCTCTATCTTCCGCTGGATTTTCAAATATTCCTGAATCTTTATCCAATTGCGCCATCTCATCTGTTGAGAGAAAACAAAGTAGATCGATACACAACATGAGGAATTAACATTTGCAAACGAAAACATGTTTTGGAGAATTTGGGTGCATTCACCTGGTAAGGAGCTGATTTTGGGGCTTGTTGATTTGTCATTTGAGGCAGAAGCTCTTGTAGAATCATCAGATTCGGGCTTGGCAGTATGTTTTTTCAGTTGAAGCGGGCTAATAATAGTTGAAGTTTGGTGATTAGATTCTTTCCCATATAATATCGGGGGTTTCTCTTCGATTTGATCAGGATATGGAACAATGTGATCATCACTTTCTCCACCATCACCCCATATGATATTTGTTAACTGAATATAACAAAACCCAATCTTATAGATGCTAACATTTCATCAACGGAATAGTACAATGATGATATTATAGCTAAAATTTAAGTTGGTAACAATGACTGATATGTGGACTTGAGCAATTTGCGTGGCAATTTGTCTTTTCAAGTTGTGATTGGGGAATGCCATTTTCTAACATATTTCTCAAAGGAAGAGTAGAAATCCAACCCCAAGTCCATACTACTCAATCAATATCCGGTTACCAAAACTGAGATCCACAGGATTAATCAATTAATGAATGACTTCTGCTTATTAATGTCTAAATACAGTACAAAGTCGATCAAACTAAAACCAGGGAACAAAGAAAAAATTTCTTACGAATGTTTGGATGCAAAAAGAAAAAAAAAATAAAAAAAATCTTTCATTTTCTCGGTAACCCAACAAGAAAATTAAGACAAACAGTGAAATTAGAGAGATAAAAGCAGATACCATACCTCCTCGTCGTTCCAATCAAACATAGCTAGAAAACCAAGAAAAAAGCAAATCCCAAAATCCAAACAAACGCAGCTTCAACAGGTATTGCTTCTCAAACATCGCCAAACACTTCCCACTCAAGTTTTCTCCAAGAACAAGCAGCCAAAGCAGAACAACGAGAGCATTTAATCAACAAATTTCAAATAACTTCACAGTACCAAAGGGTAAAAAAAAGTCTGTCCTTTTTTGTTTGGGACATGAAAACAGTGAAAAAAAAAAGAGGAGGAAGAGAGAGATTGAGAGAGCGAGAGAGAAGATGGTGGCGGTGGATTACCGAGCAAGTGGGGCCCGCCGGACATGTGTTTTCAGGGTTGAAATTTAGACCCGTGTCAGGTTTCGTATCTAAACTGGTGGCTATGGGTATCGGATCATTTCCTGCAAACTGATTGGCCAGGATTTATTTTGAGGACCATATTACACAAATACCCTTATTTCTTAGTTTTAAGGAAGGGAGAAATTCACTTTTGGTACCTCAATTATATCTACTTTTCGATTTTGCTACCCCTAATTTCAACTTAATCATTTGTAGTCACCCATGTATATAAAATCCATCAGTTTTGCCCCAAATCGTTAGCTGACCGTGAGTCAACGACGATCACCTTCTCTAATCGGTTGCCTCCTTTTGCACCAGATGAAAAATGGCGGGTGCATCTCCCATTACNTTAATTTGCCTAATATAACAAGCATTTGTAAAAAATTTGCAGAACTTTGGTTATTGTGGATTTTTTATATGGTTCGATCCGTAAATTTGCGAAAGAGAAAAGAATATTATATCTGATTTGCTGAAAAAATTAAATAAACATCAAGATCAAATTGAGTAATACAAGTTGAAGAATGCTGACATGGAAGCTCAGTAATTGGTGGCAATGAGCAAGGTGGATGACATGAACAATGCATTGGTTGTGTTCAAGAACAAGATAAAAAATTATGGGCTGCTATAATTCTTCTCTCATTATTGTACCTTGTCAAATTCTTTTTTAACTAGATTTAGATAGTTATGGTTGATGTAATTTGGAGTATTATTATGTAATGGATTATGTAATTCTGTACGGTTTGCAGTATGAAAAAATTGGTGTAATGATCTCATTTGGTTTCCGATGAATATTGTTATGTATTTGCAGTATGAAGAAATGATCCATAGCTGAAATACTAAACCAAGAAGTTGCATCAACAAACCCAACAAAACCTGAACCACCTACCAAACGACACTAGCAAAACTAACAGTACTTTAAGAGAAACAGAAGAAGAAAACACAAAGTACTTTTTCATATATGATCATGTGAAGTCATTGTGACTATAAAGCCAATTAATTCACAAAAAACACAACAACCACAAAGAACCATTCCCAGTGCAGCTTACACCACAAACACAACATCCAAACAAAGGTTCACACAAAAAACACAACATCCAAAACAGCACTAGAAAAAAAAAGTTCCATTCCTAATGCACATGATATCTGAAAGTTCGTTAAACATGACCAGTTGCAGCACAATACAACAATATTGTTTTTCAAACTTGTCCATAACACATCACATACAACAGTCTTTCAAATCAATACATAAAACATTATCTTCTTGCTACACCAAACTGAAGAAAAATTCAGCATATACTCAAATGGATTTGTGTCCCTCATCTTGCCTTAAAGTCCCCTGAGCAGCTGCAGCTCTTAATTTGAAAGAATTATGTAGTTAACAACTCCTTTCACATTGACTGGTCCAGTTCCCGAAGATGATTGCATCATCTGAAAGAGAAAATTTGATTTATCAAGCTTACACACACACACACAGTGTGTGTGTGTGAAAATAACATGTACGAACGATAAAAAAAAAAATCTTCCATTAATTGAAGATGCTCTATTTGTGCATCCATTTGAGTTTAAACCAATTGTGCCAGACTCTTTCCTCCTCTTAACCTCCTTTGTGCAAAACAGTTACATCTTATCAAAATCATACCTTCATAATAAAACTTACATATAATTGAAGAGTGAGACTGAACAATAAAAGTTACATCTAATCAAATCATACTTTCATCAAATTATACTTACAGGTAACTTTGATCTTTTTTGAATACTTGAAGGCTGAGATTGAGACTGAAGCTGAGACTGAGATTGGGATTGAGACTTAGATTGTGACTGAGACTGAGTGCCACCCAAGCTTGTTGCCATCAGAGTTCTACTATTGATTTTGGCATATTCTAGAGTTGTGGCCTATTTTACTGCACTTACCACATTTCACAAAATTCTGAACTTTTTTAAGTATGCTTTCAGAGGAGCATGAGGCTTGTCAGGTTGCCTCCTTCTTAATTTTTTGGGTCTACCAGGCCTATATTCATATATTGGTGGCAAAGGAGCTGGTAAATCACATTTAGGCCACAATTAAGAACATGAATTTGCCATCATGGAATTCATATGCATTTCTGTATGTGTTTTAACTATGCAAGTCATCAACATAGCACTCAGGATCTTCATGTCTGCACCAAATGGCAGCACATGCATACGTACAGGGGATTCATGTCAAATCCCATTTTCTACAACTACAATTCAGTCTAGCAACATCAAAAGTGTGTTGATCATAACGACCTATGGTTTTAAAGTGTCAATCATCACTTTTCATTAGAATATACTATGCACCCTCTTTCATATTATTTTGAAGTTTCTTTTTAATTCTAGGGAAAATCCTCCCAGACCATTTTTTAGCTGCATCTCTATTCACTTGCAGTCTAGCCATCAATAAGTGCCTTATTGTCTCAAGCATCACAATGACCGGCTTTTCCATTACATTCAAGATGAAAGAATTGAAACACTCACATATATTGTTCAATAAAATGTCACACTTGACTGAAGTTTTGAAGTGAGACCGAGACCACAGATGAGGAGGTTTTTTTACCAGTCACGCATAAGCATTTGGATCCAATTCTTTCAGTTCATTCATCTTTGCACTCAAAACTTTCTGCCTAGTTAATCTAGCTGCGGCCCACAAAGAATTTGTTATTGACTAACCAACAAAGCCATCTCTCTTCATGTTACTGTGTAAATGTCTAACACAAAACCTGTTTTCAGCATTAGGGAACAAATCTTCAAAGGCATGGATGTTGATATGTGGTTTGTATCAATGGTTAGTCAAAAACCAACTGGGTGATTGAGAAGATAATCGTGAAATAAGAGAGGGTTGATGAGGGAAATAAAGAGCCTTAGATATGAATCGAGGTCGGCCCTTGTGTTCTTCGAGGCTGAACCTTTAGGTTGCTTTGCCTGAATTCATTATGAATGATTGTTTTTGTACAACATTTTGCGCTTGGACATCTTCAGCTTATCAATTGGATATATATATTTTCTTTATCTTTTTTGCTCTTTCCTCCATTAATGATACCTAGGACTATTTATACCTAAACATTCTCAGCCACTATTCATCTATTGTTTATTGAGCCATACTGCACAGTAAACTGAAATGACAGGCATTAAATGAGGACATGCCACTCTAGGGACCTACGGGTCGTAGAACTGCAGGGTTGGTAGAAACATCCTATCGGTCATCATTAGACTGCAAGTTGCCTTATTTTATTATTTCTCGAGGTTGGGTGCGTCATGGAGCCCGATCCCTGAGATCTTCGAGATCTCGGTATTTCGTCATGACTTTGAACTTGGATTTCCCTTCCTTTTGCCCTGGGCTCGGGATTTCTTCTTGATTGTGAGCTCGGACTCTGCTCCCACTTGTTGTCCCTCTTGTCTGGCAGTCTTCGAGTTCAGGTCATCTATCGTTGAATATTGAAGCTAAGCTGAGCGTCACATCCGACGAGGCCAGCCTGGCAGCCCTGCCTTCTAGGATCACTTGGTCACTAATTTGTTTCGATACTCTGTTTTAAGTTCTTGATCCATGCTTTCCAACTCGGATGCCAACATACAGGCCCCCGAGCTCGAAGGGAAGGCGTTTTTTAGCCTTTCTTCGGAGGTCGTCTTTTTTTAAGGTTTTCAAATTAGCTATAACCTATTCTTCGTTGTGCGCGTGCATCTAACTCACGCAGATTCTCTATGTATTGGCGATGTATCGCGAACAGGCTTGCTTTAGTTATCGCATGCCCAAGAGTCATTCCTTTCTAATCGTCTGTCAATGTGGTTCCAAATCTAGCCATAGATTTGTTTTCGTCTTTTTGGATATGACGGGTCTTCTTTTTTTGAATTTCGAATGTGAACAAGCGACATCGTTTTCTTTGTTGGGCTTCTGATACATATATGGGGACTTAGGGTTTTATTGAACTTTTTCATCACTTTATGCGATTTGCGAGCCTTCTAAATTCTTAGAGCAGAACTCGGCTTCCACCACCGATAAGTTCTTCCCGTTTCTACAGACTTCGTTTTCCTCGGTAATTTCGTTCTCAAGCCCAAATCTCTTTATGTTTTTATTGTTACGTCGATATCTCCTTGTGCTAACGTTACCATGGGATCTGCTGACGACGAGATGATTTCTGAGGCTGGCGAGATGGTGGTTTGCTCGCAATCATTGGTTGTGCTGCCGGAGAGACGGTGAGGATGGTAGAGTCGACAGTGGAGACGGCCACCAAGCCAGAGGTGGGCTCGTTGTCGGGGTTGTATGCGAGGGGTGTGAGCGGTGATGGCGTCCTTGACCTAAACGAGCCCATCGATTTGGGCAATGATGATGAGGTGGACATGGGTTTGGTGGAAGAAACCTTACGAGGTGATACTCATGGTCGGGAATGGGTCCTTTTGATCCGGGATGACCAACAGACTGACCAAATGCTTGAGGAGGCGACGACCATTCCCAATGGCTGTTGGCGCCGACCTGCTCGTTTATGGATGGAGCCAGTGTTTTGAAAGTGTGTAATACGCCTTCAATTTCGAACGAGGCCGACCTCGCTATTTGGAGAGGCAAAGCTTAATTCTAGCCAGAAGTGTGCAATTTCGTACCTTATCCGAGAGAGTGAATTCATTGTTAATCGCCAGGCTGCATTGGAGTTTACCGAAAAAGTGTGTCGATGGGCTTTCGATTCCCTTTGTCCGATTCACTTGCTGGAATCCTTCAGGATGTGAGGGTCGGCATCGACTAACTCACACCATCTGACCTGGCCAGAATCATTTACCTGATGGTCATTTGTAGGAATAAGGGATGGTCGGATCCTACCAGCGAGGATGTCCTGGCCTTATTTTCTTTTAAGGAGATGGAGAAAGAGTCTGGTATTTACTATTCAGTCTACCCCGAGGTAGATAAGGAGATGATTCTCCATCTTCCTTATACCCTTCATGGATTTCAAGAGTGGTTCTGGGTCGGAGGCCAATGGTTGGCCGAGTGCTCTTTGGGTGTGCCGACCGATTTTTTTACTGGCTCGTGTATGTCCTTGTTCCTCATTGTGTTGTCCTCTAACGATGTTCATTTTTGTGCTA